CGCTGGGACGGCTGACCGTCGAGGTCTCTGAGTCGCCTGCCTTCCGGCGCTTTGCTGGAGGTTGCTGGTGAAGAGACTCGGTTGAGGCTGAGCTGGAGGATGAATAATCGACCAACGCCATGTCGAGCAGTTGATCTCGGTCCTGAGAGCTGGACTCTAGGTCCTAAGCTGGCTGCTAGATTATTCCCATCAGCTGTTTCCGTGGCAAGAAAAGAAGTCCAGATATCGCCGCCAGATATCCGCCGTTGGGAGCTGAAAGCTCTTGTGCATGAATTAAAATTGGCTGGTGCCCAGTGGCTGTTACCTTTCGCATGGCGGCCTCGCGAACGATCGACGATTCAAGAGCGAGCACAGATTGTTAGGGATGGCCTGAACCCTGAGGCGCTGAAAAGTCAAGGGTATCAGAGGACCGCCCTACAAGATGATGGAATAACGAACACAATCTACCCGTATGTTGAGTCTGAGGGTACGGTATATATTATAGTCATTAATTAATCCAAATAATGTCATGCCGTCAATTTCAAACTGAAGCTCCTGATAATGGATCGCTGTGGCAGAAGATCTCCAGCTGGGTCTGGTGCTTGTGAAAGGTTCCTCCAGTGGAGACCCAGCGCCCAGTTCACAGGCACTTGGGCGCTCACTGCCCAGGACAACATACCCGTACCTACCACATCACCTACAACCTCTCCTCCTCAGTAGCAACATCTCTCGACAACAAACAGTAGAGCGCCCGATAGCTCGTCAGGGTGGCTCACATACTAAAATTGCGTAGTTTTCTTGGACCAAAAAGCCAACCCTCGTTGCATCGAGAAGAGTGTTCTCGAAGCCAAGAAGGTTGGCGTGCTCGCGGGACCAGGCCCGGAACTTGTGTTAGCTATATACCTTTGTATGCCAATTAGTTTTCCTATGCAAAGACGGGGTAGTTGGTTGCTGGTTGTTCGGATTTGAGAGGCTTGCGATATATGCGAAGCTCCCACAATCCCGGAGCTTTGCAACCAAAAATTCTCACTCCATCTTCACAGAGTTCGCGGAACGAGGGATGGGGAGACTCTTGTCAGCGTATCCAAGGCCTCACTGAATGGTATTGTAGCTGGCATGTCAACATGGATACTTGAGACGGTCTTGAAGAACGCAAGTTTCCCCAGATAAGCCTAAGGAAAGAGGACTAACGCTTCGTGACCCTCAATTAGACACGCAAAGGCAGCAGCTCGGCATATGCAAACCTGATGGACAGCATATGCATGGCTGGCTTAAGAAGAGTTGTCGCTCAACCATCCCAGGGTCTACATGCCCATTTTAGAGGGCTTAATTCATGTTTTCTAGATGGTCTATTCGCGCAGTACTTTTAACTCTCAGCTGACAAAGGTAAAGGCACGGTAGAACAAGGCCTCATAATAGCAACATGGTCCATTTTGATGCAGGTCCGAGGCAGTGCGATTTGAAACGCTCCCCTAACCTTGAATTTCTAAAACCCACCGAATTTACGTTTCATATAATGCCAAGAATGAATGAAACGCCAACATGGCCTGCAGCAGTGACAGATCTCACGTCCGATGGTCTATTGAGCCTCCAGGCCTTTCGAAAGCTTGGGCCCTGCGGCCTGTCCCTCCGTCTGGAGATGGAGTGGGGCGTTAAACGCAACCCGGGGCCGCGTTAAGGCTGGAAGCGAGGATATTTCCTTACTGCCGTCATAGGCTACGTAGCTCTAGGCGTGGGTAGTTTCGCGTGGCTCGCTTAGGAGGTCGTTGTCATGTCAAGTAGTTTGGAATGTTTAGTCGAATGATGCTCGGTTGAGTTGACGCACCGTCCGTCTGGATGTTGTAGCTCGGCTCCAATCTCGTTAATGATTTCAACACAGGTATCATCGTACATTCACGCGCCAACATTATCAGGAGTCGTCGATGGTTAAATGGTACTATTCACAGGTCAATATTGAGCTTCACTGAAAATTACCAACAAAATCCAACTAGAAATAGCCACTCCAGCATTTAGAATCTGGATTCAGAGTGTTTGGTGGATCATGCTGCGGTCTAGGGTAGCCTACATCACTGCCGGCTTCCCTGAGTCGGGCTAATTTTGGCAAGCGACCAAGGATTCCTGGACGAAGATCTTCTATTCGGTGACGTGAGATCATTCAGCGATCTCCTCGATCAGCGACTCGCCAGTCGACTTGTCGCCGCTGGTCCATTCCCACTTCTCATGCATCCGCAGCCTGCCATCAGCAAGCTTCTCCGGCCGGGACTGGCAGCGGCCCGTCATAAGCTCTCCCTTGGCGTTGACGTGTTGGTAACGCATGTCGAGGCTGTTGTCGGACGCCATGGTTGCTATTAACGAGCCCCTGACAATAGAACCGCCCGAGTACTCGGCCCAGACGATGTCCGCTTGTTGGTGGTAGTGGAAGAGCGTCTCAGCGCCAACCTCACCATTCGCCGTGTTGGTCACAGACCGGAAGGTCTTGCCGTCGTAAAAACTCATTGTTGGTGCTGGATTGAATTTGGATTTGAGTTCTATTGAGCTCGTATGCTGATTTTTTTGGTGGCAACAATTTGCAAGTCAAGTGATCACAATGCGAAGCCTAATGCCATTTTATTATCAAAGAGTTTCAAAGTGTCTTGTTTAATTGAAAGCTTGGCTTGGTTGAAGTTTCCGATGTCGGCTACTCCGCAACGAAGCAGTCATGACAGAAACCTTCAATGATGACTCTCTCATGATCCTGGATGAGAATTGAATAGACTTAGGGAAAGGCGCCAATTGCCCTGTTCAGTAGGTGTAGACGCTTGCTCCTATTCAAAACATATCCTTTCGTTCCAAGCTGTCAATGAATGCATGCCGTGATTTGCCCCAAACATTCGGGTTAGGCTATCCGAGACAGAAGGCCCTCTACCAATGCAGGTCCAGCGCCACTTCCACCCCGCGTCGGTGCCGTTTTTTGGCTTCAGCTGTTTGAGTCACTCAAGACACTCTATTTGGCCATTATCCCCTTGAGTTTTTCCATTGGCCTGGACCTTGCCTCGTGCCCCTGGCCCAAGGGGCAAAGAAGGTCTGCACTTGAGACGAACTTTATTTTCTGTCCCGTGCCGTGTGTGTGTGCTTGGCTTCGGGAAGACTGGAAGGATCTTGCTGGCCCTGGACCCTGGACGGTCACATACCTTCAGACCGATCACCCCACAGGGCGTCATCCCGGCTGCCCAGATCCTGGGTCACACCACGGCAGGCTGAGGCCTTGACTCACTAGCGGGCTGGTTAGCTGCCGACTGAGATGGGTGCCGACTCATCACATTCCATCCTCTGGGCGCTGGATCAATTCATCAATTGACAGATAGGTGGCTGTAGGCGTCAACCAAGTAAGACAGGCAGTGCTGTAAGCCCTGCACTCAGAACGCGGCGATCTGCTCAGCGACTTGACGAAATCTGGCCCACCTCCATCAGCTGGCGGAGGATGACTGATGATCGAAGGCTGCCATAGGCCTGATCTGACCCGGGTGGCGGTTGTCACATGGGTATCCGGGGGCTTCCGTGGGCCTAAGCGCGTGCATTGAACCCAAACCCGCCTCTCGCTCTTGTGCTTTCTTAGCTCGCCATTGTAAAGCACCGGCCTGCATACCTGCCATGGTCGAGGCTTTGAAGTTACTTCTGGGCTGGACGGAGGTGGCGCCTGACATGTCTGTCTGTGCCTCCCCCGGGGCGCTTAGTGCTTGTAAAGGGCATCCCGGGCGTGCAGAATGGGCGGTTTAGCTTCGCTGAGGCTGTCAGAGAGGCAGCCAGAGTTCCCGTGGCGTTAGTTCTTTGCGTTTGCCCGGGGCTGTCCCTATTGAAGAGTGATCTGAGCCTCTCTCTCTATTGTCCTCAAGTTTCCATTAAAACCCCAAGCATCCCTCCCTCAGCTCTCCATGTTTCACTTCAACTCTCCAACTCTACATCCATCTCGTCTCTGGTAGACATTGAAGCAAGCAACCACATTTCAGACACCAGCAACTCCAACTCACAATCAGGAACTAGTCTACTTGGTCTCGTCTGCAGTAGCAACACTAGCACTTGGGTCACATACCATCACTCACCACGAACCGATCTTGATCAATTCGATCGATCTGCTTAACTGATCTGTTCGTTGCTCCATACAGTATCTCCAACACACCGTCGACATCCTTGGACACCATCGTCATCATGTCGCTCCCCACTCTCGACGGCGAGTATGATAAGAACTGGGTATGTTGTGGTGTGGTTTCCTTTCCTCATTTGTGCTTTGGTGTGGACCTGCTTCCTCTCCCTTCCATCATCAACGCTCGCAACCCACCCTGGACCCTTCCGCCCACGCCGAGGGGAGAAGATCGGCTCATGTACCCTCTTTTCGGGGCCATCGGACGAGTCGTGGGAGCAGCGGCAGCGTGATCGGCATGCGGTCAGAGGCCGCGTCGTCACCTTGACAAAGCTTAATGTGCTAGTCTTGGACCCTGAGCAAGGTGCCCAGACTCCAGCGGCTTGGGCCCTGCGTGGCCAGTGGCTTTGCCGGCCGACGATCGCTGACGACAACCCTCCCACTTTTCTGGCCCTTCTCTGCCCGTGACCTCATCCGTTCGCTCTGCTATAATATGGCTCGTCCCTCGTCGTTAGTACCTGATTGTTGCTAACCATAACCAAATATTTAGGCCCAAAAGTATCTTATCGAGCCTCTGACCAGCCCAGAGCCCAGCCAAATCCACTTTCAGGAATCAGCCCCACGCCCTTCGACATCATCATCAGCCAAATCCAGACCTGTCTCGCGGCCTGTTAGCATTATCAACAGAGACCCAGTCACTGGAAAATTCGTATTACCTACTGAACCCATTGGTAGCCCAGCCGGACAAACTGCTTGGGACTTCCATCCTTCAAATCCCTTCTCCTCCCACTCCCGCACTCAATCTACCAGCCAAGTCCCCATCGACACCAAGCCTGTGAACTTGGATCCATTTACACCAACTCACCGTCGCTTCCACTCTCTGCCAGAGCAGAATATGAGAAAAATGGCTCCCCGCACTCTTGACACCATTAAGAAGGAGCACAAGACTGCTCACCGCCGCCACCGCAGTCGTCCCTCGCAGACCGACATCATTGACTCCCTCGATACTGTCGGTGGAGCTTACCACCACAGTGGTCCTTTTGATGCCGCTTCCGCCAGCATGAACACCCACAAGAAGTACTCGCCCCTCGAGGCCGTCCGTGACTCCAACATGGAGGCCCTCAAGGCAACCCCTCCGGAATATATCAAGGACTCCCTTGAGAGAAATCTACCCCTCCAGGGCACCGCTACCATCCCCAGTGGCTACACAGACCTCTCAGGCAATGTCATGCAATATGAGGAGGGCACCGATATGATGCGTGACCCTTCTGCCGGGGGTGGTGCTTACAAGCGATGGGACGGAATTGTAAGTCAATGCATAAACCCCGTTCAGTCTCCGTTCATGCATGACCATGCTAACCACTATGACGTCCAGACATACCACCCTGACGACCTCAAGGGCAAGGGTCCCGAGTTCGAATACGAGCGCGACCTCAAGCTCAAGAAGGCCCAAGGACAGGAGGAGGGTGTTGAGATGCTCCCCCAGCGCTCCAGCCACAACTTCCGCAATGGCGACGACCGTGCCACCTCTGCCGTTGACGGCATCTCCACTGGCCGACGGGTCGCCGATGGTGTTAAACGCCGCCTTGGTGGCCTGTCACGAAAGAGAGATGTGCTCGTCAACTAAGAGTACCTCTCAAAACACATTCACACACTCACTCACACACAAATTTTCTTTATCTTATGAAGTTTATACCCCTGGAGGATAAATGTACTATTATGACGACGATACTTTGGTACGACTCCGCCTTATCGGCTTTGACAGCGTTGCGAATTTTGGAAACTTGCTCTCGTTCATCTGCGGAGAGCTGGCCATTGCTTTACTAAATTGGTTATTGGGAGTTTTGGATTACAGTGTATATCAACACTTGGGAATTTTGTTATGTCATCAAGACGGGGAATATTGGTCAACAAAGGAATAGACTTAAAGACTGCTTCAACGAATAGATTCACAATATCTTTCAATCCGAATTGCACAGTGACGAATTATGTTCCTCAACTTTGATTGTAACTGTAAATTTCCTTTCATGACTAGGGAAATTCGATTCACCATGATTTACCGAGTGTCGCTTATACAGCACAATTTTTAACCAAGTGTTCATTTGTACTTGTATTTTAGAACTCGGGTCCTAGTTACACACTACCAGTAGATGTTTTTTTCAGCAGACTCTCATCATTTTATCCTCGTCTATATCCACCTCCTTCAAAAATAGGACAACCCACTCCATCCGAGCACGCTGTATAGCTCATCTCTCATCTCCTGAACGCCATCATATCCACCCTTCGTAGCCAGCTCCGCCCGCTTCGCGGTGCCCAGCTCGGTCCATCTCGCCAGGACCTCGCCATCGATGATGGCCGCGCTGCGTCCAGCTGCGGTGTCGACGCCGATGCTCCTCCCCGCCGAGTTCGTGGCGATCGAGGACGTGGAGGGGAGGCGGTGGGCCTTGGAGTTTAGACCCGCGTAGGACGGGAGGATGGAGAGGAGCTGCGTCTGGAGGGAGTATAGCCTGCGGTGGGCCGACTCGCTTATGGCGCCGAGGGACGATAGGTGGCCGGAGGGGGATGAGAGGAGGAGCAGGTGAGTGTTGATGTCGGAGGAGTGGGGGAGGAGAAGGGTGTTGGTTGCCGGGTTGGGGGTGAGGGAGAAGGTGGTGCGGTGAAGGAGGAGACTGCCCTGGAAGGACTTGGCATCTGTATCCGAGGTTAGTTCCGAAGTAAAAGGGAAAGAATTGCTACGGTTGAAGCGTAGTGGAAGGGGAACTACTCACGATCGGGATTAAATTCAAGGATGTGCATATCACCATCAGCATCAATGGCGACCATCACAAGGTCCTCTCCATCTGGAAGGAAATCGGCCGTTAGGATGGGTACTCGACTTCCACTCTTGCCGAGAACCTTGAAGGTGTACGGCTCTTCCGTGTAACCGGCAAACCAAACCCCCTTGAATGTGTCGGCAAGAAGGCATAGTCCAGTGCGCGGGAGCGCGCGCGCAGACGCAACATGGCAGTTCATGTCAAGGAAGGCTACTGGGAGCAGCGAGCCATCTTCCTTGAGACCTCGGACCATGCATTTTTGGCCCTGTGCTACTAACATCAGACCTTGAGTCCCAATCTCGCTGAGTGCTGTGACGCCACCTCGAGGAATATCCTCCTTTGCGACGGGCTTTAGCCTGCGGTTGGTCTCTGGATGACCTGGCTCGGGAATGACTGTCACAATGTCGAGAACCTGAACTCTACCTCTAGTAGGCAGGTCCTCTCCCTTTGACAGAGCAGACCCGACAGCGAGAAGCATCCTTCTTTCCTTTGTCTCCTCGGACACTTCCAGGTTGAGGGTCTTCATGCTTTCAACGGTCTCGCTCGACTCAAGCTCGAAGTCATTGATAGCGGTCCACGTTATTGGGTTGATGAGCTTAAGAACACCACGAGCCATGGTTGGCGCAAAAGGCAAAGTCTCCTTTGCCCATTCCTTGTGGTAATCATCATCTCGAGGAAGCTCAAATGGTTCTGCAGTGAGGCATCCGGCAACGTAGGTTTCAGTGGGGGGATGATATGCGATTTGCTTGACTTCAACGCCCAGGGGAACTTTTCGGACGGCAACGCCCAGTTGTGTAAAGTCACGGTTAGGAGGCAGCTGAGCTACCCTCGCGATGCCCTCGGAATCGGCATAGATAAAGCCTCTGTCGCAGCCTTCTGTGTGGAATGAGCTCATGCCACGGACTCCTAAGCCTTGTAGCGGTACAACGCGAGGAACGCTCTTGCTTGACTTGATGATGAAGCTTGGCGAGGGCCCGGGTAGGAAGACAGTGCTGTATCCTTGAACATTTTGACTCGGTCTCAAGGGAACGAATCGTGGCTGCTCAGATTCATCATCTTCTTCTTTGACTTCCTCAACAGGCTTTCTGGCTAGTACGGGATTAGAGGCCTTCTTGAAAACCAAGGTAGTGCTTAGTGTAGAATCTTCGCCGTTTGACAATCGTAGCGGCTCATATAAGGTAATATCATCATTTGAATTTCGCAACTAAAACATGTTAGGGTATCGTCCCAGCGCTCGAATCAGATTGAACGATACTTACAATCAGGTATGGTGTCTGTGATACGGTGTCTCCTAGATCTGCAACGAGACACTCTGTGAAAGTATCACGAGGCGAGCCTTTTCGAACAGTGAATTCTGTTGAGAGGAAGGGGGGTAGATACGATAAGCCGTCAGAGACGAAGACGGGTTTCGAAAGGTCGGGGAGCGCGTAGATCTAGTCCGGTCAGCCTTGCCCAAAACTCTCAAAGCTCTCTCACTGAAACCTACATGTAAAGCCCCAGATGAACTGAGCAAGAACATCATGATGGTCTCGCTAGGACCACTGCCTTTCGAGCTTTGGAATACGCCCTTGGTATCCTTGTACAAGCACCCAGAGGACCACTTTGTTGCATTCAGAGGGCTTCCATCCTTGTCCACTTCTTCGAGTTCGTTATTCCTTTGAATCTGTGCAAGGAATATGTTGCTGTCGTCCCGCACAAGTAACAAGTACGGATCAGAGATGCTTGCACTGAGTACTCGTGGCTCTGTATTTGTGTCTTCATCAAACATGGGCAGAATCTGGGCTAGGCCAAGATCTACTGAGTGTCAGCCACTGGTTCTCTTTTGGTCCAATGTCAAAGAACTTACCTCCGTCGTAGCACCTCACCTCAGATTTAAGAACCTGGATGATTCTATTCTCATTCCCCATGGTGCCTGCCTCGACAGTAAATCCGGCTGCTGGCTCGAACTCGGTGTCCTTGATGCTCTCGAAGCCGGCGGCTGTCAGCGCATAAACATCAGAGGTCTCATATCCATCCAAGTCCACCTTTGCGACGATCATGTACTTGTCGTAGTGGCCAGCGGCGTCATAATCATGACCAGAGCCCGCAGGCGCTGTCAAGGCATTCGGGGCCGGCTTCTTCACGCGAACTGTCCAGAAGCCCCTCGCCTCGGGGAACTCGAATCGGCCAATAACCTTGGGCTGGATGCCGCGATTGATCACTGCGATGGAGCCTGCCCTGCCCTTTCCGACCGCACATGCAAGCTCTAGATCAGCGGTGACACCCTTTGCTAGGGTTGCCTCCTCGCTCGACAGTGCAAACGCAGGCTTTCCGCAGGTAAAATCGTTGATTGGTGCGATGCAGATGAGGGTGTCATTTACGCGGAAATGCAAATCACCTGCCTTGCCTGATTCGTTGGCTGTTTGTATGGGCTTCGCCGCTGTGGATTCATTGCCATAAAGATCATCGTCATCGTCATAATCCTCGATGTCCATCTCATCGATGTCAAGGCCCAGGTCAGGGTCAATGACCCGGCTTCTCTTGCGCTTTTCCTGTGATTGCCTTCTTGTCCAAGCGAGGACGACGGAGTCGCCAGTCTCACTTCCAATGAAGCATGCGTTTTTCCCGAGCTTGGATATGCAAGTAGCCCTGCTTTTGAAGAGATTTCCTCCACACTCCTCAGTTACTAGCCTTAGGTTGAGTCCAGACACTGTCCGTCCATCAATTCTGAATGTGATGATGACAAGATAGCCTTCCTTGGTGACGAGAAGAAGCTCCCCATGATCTATGGAAAGAATCTCAACGGTGCAGCCTTCTAGCCGCAGGCCCAAATCGGATTGATCAACCAGGTTGAACGATGTAATTTGTTTAGTGATGGGGTTCACAGCAACACCATTGGTCCTGCCCGACTGATCGACATGGATCAGCTCATTCTCTCCAAGTAACAAGGCACCGCCGATTGGGGCTGGCAAGGGCATGACCTTGAATAGATCCCGTGGGAGGTCTGTGACGGAGAGAATCGTCGTCGACGCCTTCTGCTGCAAGTCGAGGGTGAAGACCTGGTAAGACAAGTGGTCCTTAGCACCAAGGGCAGCAGATGGAGGCTGGGTCGAGGATAGAATTCCAAAGGTAGGCTCGCGGTACTCATGGAGGAAGGCAAGATGGATCGGATGAAGCAGACTTGGTTCAATGAGAGGAAGGCGAAGGACAAATGATGCTGTATATGCTTGTTCTACACTGTCGCTAGTCCCGTTTGCAACCGCACCCACGTTTGACTCTTTGACCGGGCGAGGTCCATCCAAGTCCTCATCCCAATCATCCATCTCCAAGTCTTCCTCAGATTGTCGGAATGGTAGAATAGCGAGGTTGCGAGACCCAAACTTGAATGCGGCGCATCGACTTCCGGGGTCAGCGTCGAGGTAGTTGACATACTCATTGAGAGGGAGTTCCCATGGAGCAGCCTGAATGTCATCCTTTTCATAATAGTGAAGAGATATTGTTTCCAAAGTGTTGCGCTGGGGGTCCCATTCCGTCAAGCAGAGTTTGGCAGCTTTATAGGCCAGCAACAACGCTTCACCGCCAGAAGCCGTATTGCTGAGCTTTAGTCTCGCCATTCCAATGACAGTTCCGGCAAGGGGGATCTCGGCGACAAGAACAAGCTTCGTATTGTTGGATCGATCGGTTCGGACAAGCATGGACTCGCCGCCCAGAAACGAAGACTCGAGGCCCTCATCGTCGTTGACGCGGTGGTCGTAGGGAATCTCAGCCTTGGTGGATGTAGCCGTTTCGTCCTTCTGGGAGTCGAGCTCGGCAGAGACAGTCTTGGTAGCGAAGATCTGGAGGAGGGATCCCTTTGCGACAACCAGGTTGCTGGCCGCGGCAGAGGTTAGCGGGAGGGCCAGGGAGTAGGAGACGGCAGTGGGAGCCGCAAGCTCAGTGTAGGCCTGCATCGCGGCGACAGAATCATTCTTCCGCCCGGACGCGGTCTACTGAGCGAATTGACGTCGGTGGGAGCTCGCTCGTGTGCTGCTATTCCGTGGTGCGATGCTGTCCCGCGTATTGAGGCCCTCGATCTGCTGCTTGGTAGTATTTTCGGCTTGGAACAATTGGCAGACGCGCTGTCGCGCTAGACCTTTAGGGTCACCCCCAGTGTGTGCTGTCGTCGCAGCTGGTCGCAGGCTGAGTCTGGGGCTTTGGGTGCCTGGAGGGGTGAGTCTCACAATCCCAGGGAGTGGTATCAAGGCCTCCGCGCTAGTATAGATACGGGTAGTTCTACGTCTAGATTGCGTCAGAGATCAAGCTTGGCAGCTGCACCTGCGCTCGCTCCTCCCCAAATCCAGAGAAAAACAACACAACTGGATTCCTGCCTTGATTTTATTGTGCTTTTTGCATTATTGCATCTACGGATCACCTCTTTCTCCGCCTGAAACCACGAGCGTCGCTGAATTTCTTTTCTTTTGCCATCGGTCGCCTATGATCACCAGCAAACTCTCGACCTCCCCGAGCTGCTACCATGGCTGACGCAGGTTTGCTGCATACCAGTCTCATCTGGGTGGCCTACGCCATTGCTGTCGCCCTCTGCCTGGTTATCGCAATCATCACCACTTTTACCTGGCAGACTCCTCGGGAGCGCTCTGCCATCGTCAGCGTTGTCGCGATCATCAGCCTGACCTCGTTGCTCGCGACCGTGCTTCTTCTCCCAGTCGACATCGCTCTCATCTCCGCTACGTCATCCGCGGCTAACGGGGCCAAGAAGGAATGGGCCACCCCCGAACGCATCGATAATATTCTCCTCACCCTCAAGATTGTGTATTACAGCTTGTATAGCTTCGATGGGCTTCTTTGCCTCATTGTCATACCGTTCACCTACTTCTGGTACGAGGAGTACGACGAGATCGAGTTCGAGGAGGAGGGCCGAACATGGACCAGTCGCTTTGTCTCAGCAGCCAAGTACACGCTATTCTTCGTAGCCCTCGTTGTCGTTCTGTTTCTTCTCGGTTTCTTCGTCCCAGCTGCCGGTGACGATTCACAGGCGCACTGGGACCTCGATTACTACAAGAAGCTCATATCCCAGAATCATGGCGAGAAGGCGCTTACGTTTGCCTTGGGACTTCTGATCACCATTGGCACTCTTCTTTACGTCGTGTACACCAGCGCTGGCCTCGCCCTCCTCCCAATCTCCTGGATCCGATCCGCGCCGGCGATATCTGCCCCACAGCTTTCAGAGACAACCGCATCCCAATTGGAAATGAACCGCGAGCGACAGCGCCAAATCGAAATGCGCAATGCCGGACGTCATGATGAAATGCCTCGAAAGGACCGCCGTGAGTTGGATGCTCTCGTCCGCGAAGAACAGACACTTGTACGAAGGGAGCGCCTTGCTGCTGAGGCTCAGGGCGAAGGTCGAAGCGCCGTGTACCGCTTCTGGTTCAAGCTTTGCGCATTATTCCGGCCAGTGAAGATGCTTGGTGGCCTTCTGCTCCTGGTAGTCGCGGTCCTCATCTGGGTATCTATGCTCATCACGGGAATTGACAAGGCCAAGAACTCGATCTGCAAGCAACGATGCGGATACATTCTGGGCCAAATCCACATCTTCCAGCCACTGAACTGGATTTTCCTCAAGTCCGCCAAGGTTTTCCCCATTGACTATATTCTAATGGCGCTTCTCGTCCTCTTTCTCTTTGGCAGCTCTATTACGGGTGTGGCTACTGTTGGAATCCGCTTCTTGTGGGTTAAGATTTTCCAAATCCGACGCGGCAGGACCGCTCCCCAAGCACTTCTCATGGCTACAGTGATGCTCACGCTGCTTGTTCTGGCCATTAACTACGCTGTTGCCATGCTTGTAGCACCGCAGTATGCTACTTATGGCACACAGACCTTCTGCTCGAACAAACCCGCAGTTCCCGGACTCCAACCGGACTGCTCGGGTCATGAAGATATGATTTTCCCCTGTTCAGAAGCCCTGAAGGAGAGTCACGCCAAAGATGTATGCACACCGTCTGTGATGTCCACATTCCTAAACCGAGTTACCATTACCTGGCCCTTCTTCGGAATCGTCGATTTCTGGGCACAATTTGGTTTCCTCCTTGTTTTCTTGATCGTTCTGGTTACTGCAATCATTCGAACGCCCAAGGTCAATATGTCCGAAATTGACGAAGATGCGGAGGCGGATGAGGAGGAAAGCCTTTTGGCAACGACAGGAAGACGTTTTGGAGCGACGTGGGAGGATTTCAGGGGCAAGACGTCAACCAGTAATGGTGGTGGCACAGGAGGTAGCTCGTCTTCAAATCGTGTCTAAGGTCTGTGACCGTTGTGAAATAGCCGCTGGATTGTCAGGCAAGGGAATATGAGATTGATATGATATTTTGTTTGGAGGCTCTGTTTATTTTTTTTGGGATTTGCGTGCATCATCATGGAATATGGGAGGGTTTGGTAGCTGGTTATTCTCCATTTGGTTTATTTGTTTTTCTCGTCCTGCCGTTTGGTTTTGAGACACGAGCTTTATGCGAAAATTGGCAACAGTATTGATTCTATCTGAATTATTGATTAAAGAGATTTGTCATGCTCCTAGTGCTACGCGCTTCTCCTTCTTCCCCTCTCTCGTAAAGTAAACGGCTTTGTGATCTCTATCATCAAACGCTGCCGTTGGACCAAGGTGCATCTCACGCCAACACCGCACACAATACGGGTCATCTTCACAACCAAGGCATTTCAACGTAGCGTCTTCCAGACACACTGTGCACCATGAGCTCATGTCGTCGTCTGTGTATTTGGTGGTGGATTTCAGCCGGTTGGGCTCCTTGGCTGGCTTGGAGGTAGGTACCGAGGGGAGATCGAGAGATGGAGACGCTGAAGATGCGCGTAGTGCGGATAGACGAGCGGTAATGTCGTCTAGAGTATTAGATGAAGGGGCGGAGCTGGGGACCTGATCTGGGGCGGCGAGATCTTGAGGCACCGAGGGCAGCTCGAGGTCTGCGGCTGCTCCGGAGGCCTGGCGGTTGTCGCCCTCGTCTGAGGAATCCCGCTGCTCCTGGTTGGTATCCTTTCGATCGTCGCCGTCCTTGGTCCCCTGCGCTGCTTCCACTTCGAGTTCGTCGCGGAAGCGGGCGATGACATCGTCCACCTCGTTTGTCATCTTCTCCCCGTCTGAATCGTCGTCAGAATCACCCTGCGCGGCATGCGTCTTTTTAGACTCCGAGGATTCATCCTGCGGGATGGTTTGTGATAGCTCCTCAAGCAGCGCTTTGACCTTGGCGTCGTCCGGCTCCAGCGGCGGCTCAACAGGCTCATCATCAGGACCGACATCACCGAGCAGCTCCTCCAAGGTGCGGTCGTCTGTCGCGAAGGCTGCCTCTACGTCATCATCCGCTTGGATGGAGTCTTTCTTCTCTGACACCTCTGGTCTGTGCCTGGCTGGCTTTGACGGGGTTGAGATGTCTCGCCGCGCGTGCGGCTGTGAGGATGGTGAGGGAGACGGCGATGGCGATGTCTGGTCGCGCAGGGCCTTGAGACGGGAGGCTAATGTATCTTCCCGGGATGGAGTGGCGCTCTTTCTTTCGATCACGTCCACGTCTATCCTGTGGCCGGGTCAGTATTCCGTTCTCTCATTGAGATGGTAGCAAGTGCAAAAAGAATCAGCACATTCGGGCGCTTGTTGGAGTATAATATGCACTGACTTGACAGGGGCTTCTTTCTTGGTAGTTGGGCTTGAGCCGCGCAGAGCAGCGAGCCGATCCAGAAGCGACTTGTCCATGGCGACTGCTACCCTGTGAGATATTTCAGCTTAATGGTGGATATGCTTGTGCATGGAAGTTTATGCCTCCCTGGATATCGATAATATCGATAACAGACTGGGAGTGGTGCGAGGCGAGTGAGGCTCTCATCGATGCCGCGTAGCAGTGCTTGGGAGTGGAGCGGGGTTCATCCGTTCGGCGGTCGTTGGCTGCTGTTTAGCAGTGTGTTTTCCCCATACCAACACAGTTGTGAGAGTGGCTTGAACTGCTGCACTTCAAGCTGCAAGTCACGCATGCCAAGCCTGCCAAGCTAGTCACTCATTTTCTTAATTTGACTTGACAGAATTTGTAAGGAATTGGTTTTTATGGATTGGCAGGGTGAACAGCCCGAGGAAGGGCCCAGAAGATAGCCTGCAAATGCCCGTGGGATAACCAATTGAGCCTTTCAGGGGCTTCTGCTTGCAAATCTACGATCTCTTGAGAAAAGAATCCTAATACAGACCAGGTATTGAATACCTTGAGGTAAGTCAGAATTTTCATCTTTAGATGTGGCAGGCCCCTTTCATAAGGGAATACTTGGCAAAATTGGGATAATGGCCTCGTCAATTCTATAGCCAAGAGGGATATTAACTGGGCCAGGAACGACCAGAAACCGAAAGAGTGCACCATTACCATATTGACTCTCTACCAGAGGCGTGGTTCAAGCGAAATGGGCATTTCATCTACTGGTACTTGAAAGCACATTATTGGGAACATGTTCTCGGATAGGTAGCTTACTCTGTGGATATCTCACGGCAGAAAGGACCGACGGCTAATAGTTGAGCGACCCGGGCCGGGGACGACACATGACTGGATTTCTATGCAGCTCCAGCCGGAATGGACTGACTGACTGGCAAGGCAGAAACGGCCGGCGGGGTTGTCATCGGTCTCAATATTCCGAGAAGACGAACTCTCCCGGATATATGACAGTCAGGCGAACAACGAATCCTCCTTTGCACAGAGGGGAGTACACTGCGTTGGCATATGAAGGATGGACATTGTTACTTCGTTCCGTAATTCGGTTCCAAAACTCGTGTCTCGCATTCAGAGCGGCCAAACCCACAGACCTGTGGTTTGGCTGACCGATGCCCTTGCGATGTAAGAAAAGGGCCTCACTCTCATTCTATAAGCGCCCACTGGAATAAGTCTGCCTGATAATCTAAACCGTAGCAGCTATTGGGAAGCAAATGAGACGCAGTAATCCGTCGTGGGAGGCATAGCTGGGCAGTTCCAATAGAGTGAGCCCACCCTTTCAGCACAGCCTTCAAATATCTGATTTGGTGTTGTACATTGACAGGCCCATGTGCAAAAGAACCGCTTGACCTTCTAGAATGGTTACATGGCCCGTTATCCGAGCCCCATGCTTCTACATATGTGTATAAGCCAGCCAATTGGCGCTTCGGAACCTGTCTGCGAACCCCCTCTTCGGGCGAAACAGATCCAAACACCACTTTATAAGCTGGGCTGTGCACTTTTATTGTCTGCGGGAACAAGGTGCGTCGGGCATGGCTGATATTCGTCCCTTGTCACCATCTGGAGATTCGCTAGCTGGAATCATGGGCCTGGCTCACTGACCCCTGACAAACATTTGAGACGGTGACATGAAGTCAAAAGTAGTCAAGGTGGCAGTGAACCCCGTCAATCGATCTGGGACCCCGCAAGGCTGTTTGGCGCGGCGCGTATAAGTCTTTCAGTCATGAGGGACTGATGAGCCATGCTGATGTTGGCGGTGACTCGTGAAGGTGAGATTCACGGCGCACAGTCCAACATGTGATCATTCAACGGGCATTTGTTTGTCTATTTGTTTGCTTGAGAATGCCCATGGCGGGTTCAAGGCAAGGCAAGGCAAAGCAAGGCAGAAGAGAGGGCGCTTGGGAGAGCCAGCAGGTCCTGAAGGCCAGAAAGCTGCGCTCGCTGTCTGCCCGCCTTCACCTCACTCAATCAACATTGCCTCAAAAGAGATACTCATTCTCAAAGGCTTAATCAACATGATACTCGTATAACTGAACAAAAACACGGGACCGAACTCGGCCTAGTCCTTCGGCCGCCACGCCGATTGCCACAAAGAGTCAACGAGCGTCAATGATCTGATCGAAGCAGCAAGGATCCGCACGTGTTCACGAATTGCCACGGGAGAAGCTTGGCATGACGCTAAGATTCGCCCGGAGAAAGGGTCTTTCTGTACGAGACGCCACGGAAAGCTTCAGTTGGCAAGGCTAAGCAGTTAGTTTCATTGTTTGCCGTGTGCCGGCTCCCTTCTCAGCCACACAGAGATCTTGACAGAACTACTACATTTTGTCCCGCCACTGTACATGAAGAAATGAGATGGTTACGGCCTGTTCAGCCTCGCCGCTCTTACTCGGGCGCTATCCCTGTGGAGTGACATTCAAGAGACAACCAGCGCTTAGTTGCGACAATGAGATGCCTTGCTTATACAGACAACTTTATGTTGCAATCCATTCAAACGCTGGGGTACGCAGTTACATAGTCAGAGGTATAAGCTCCCTTGGCTTCTCTGGGAACCACGCTACACCCTCTAGGCTTTAAGTAAGGCACACATCCGTAAATGGACAACACCAAGTAATTAACATGAGAGACTGGGATTTGGCTTGTTTCAGAGTGAAGAAGATCCGCGCATTTTAATTGCTATTTTAGGTACATCGGGCAGAGAAATGTCATATCTGCAGACATCTCGCATAGACGATGGATGCCCCGGGCTCAATGGAGGTATCAGCTTGGAACTTCCCACATGGCATCCGCCAGCAAGCAGAGCATGAAGTGGTGATGTGTACCAGTTGTCCCTCTGCGCCATGCCGCTTACTAGAAACCAGGTAGCTGGGACCCAAGTGGCGTAGGGCTGGTCAGATTAGATCATGTGTTGTATCGTTACTGGGTGATCAGAAATTATGAAATTGTACATCTTCAAATTGGGAAATATCCGCCACAAGATTAAAAGTGGCCCGTATTTCCAATTGGTTTGATCGCTGCCTGTGTTTCTTGCTCGGTGTGTGCTGACATCATGAATAACCTTCAGTGGTGGTGATCAGCAGTAAATTTTACAGGGCCTAATGCTGGCCCCAGTCGCAGAGCCAAAGACCCAAAGTCATGTCATGTATCTGCAACTCTTCAAGGGGTGTTTTAGCATAGTCAGGCCAAGCCGGAAGACAAGGAGCCACCCGCACTCTGAGTAGCTGTGTTTGGTGCTGATGGACCAGGAGCGTGGAGAAGGATGACTGGTTGCTTTATTATTAGAGGGCTGACGCAGGGTTGTGCTCAGCTCCTCGGCGACCCTGGCAGAAGCGATTCTCGCAGCACCAAAGGAGGCCTCACTTCACTGCAAAGGGACGAGGTATTGCGACAAATGTGGTTGTTTGCGTATCGAAGGGTTTCATCTAAAGAGTTTGAAGAAACGCTACAGCTGCCTGTCTTTCTCAGTGGTCTGCCCTACTCAGCCTCCGGATTTAATGTAGGTTCCCTCAAGGGCAGGTGGATTCGACAGTGCCCAGAGGCTAATCAGCGATGGGGTAGGCTATTCCATGGGTGGCTAGCCGATCCCTGCGCCTGCCGTAGTGTTGCAGTAAATTAGCACAGCCACCCGGACTGCCTTGCAAATGGACCTTGTTTGTTCTGAGGTCATCCATTCAAATTAACCTTACAGGGAAAATCCGACTACTGATATATTTAAGCCTAATCCCCTCGGGCTTCCCACATTCCGGTGTCTCATCTCATCACAAGTAGACTGATAAAACACTTCAGCCCGCATCCGACGTCTCCCAAACAATTGGCGCACACGGCCTTGAGTTGACCATCCCTTATCCTGCGACCAAGAATATACTTGGCAGTACACTTAGACACATACACAGCAGCCATGAGGTCGCATCTAACCTTCGTCACCTTCATCGCCTTTCTTTTCGGCCTGACGGCAGCTCTCGCCATCGACGAGTCCAGACTTCACAAAGATGATCTCGAGCTACTGAGCTCAGAGCTCCAGGATCGGGACTCCGACGCGACGCACGAGCTCTGGAAGCGCAAGGGTGGAGGAGGTGGTGGACGTGGTGGTGGCGGCGGCGGCAGCAAAGGTGGCAGCAGCAGCAGCAGCAAGGGAAGCAGCAGCAGCGCTTCTCGAACCAACAAGGCGTATGTATTCAAGCTGTCATCGCAGACTACCCAATAGATGGATCCAGCTAACCTTCACACTGCAGATACTACCCAGGCGCTCAAGGAGGCAACACCGGAGGCTACTCACCCGGTGGCTCCGGTCCTCAGCCTCGCTTTGTCTCAAACACATACTACGGCGGTGGTGCAAAGGCTCCTTACCCAGCTGGAGGCAGTCCCAGCGGCAAGTCCATGACCAGCTCCCGCTCACCCAGCCCTCTGGCCTACTACCCCGGATACTGGCCGCCCTATCCCATCTTCATCTATCCTTACGGCTATCACCACTCCTACCGCAACAAGACCTCCAACCAGAACGAGACCCGTGAGATCGAGTGCGCCTGCCCTCAGTACTCTTCATGCATGTGTGACGATATTGAGGACACCAAGTTCTGGGACGAGCTCATTGGCGATGGCGACTACAAGAAGTTGAACAAGTCGCTCGTCACCGTGGCCCAGGTTAATGGCAAGACCAAGATCGTCCTCAACGGAACCGTTCCCAACGGTACTACCACCGACTGCAAGGACTCTAAGGATTGCGAAGCCTACTATAGCGATGCCGCCAGCCTCCTGGCTCACAGCCTGGGCTTGTGGCCCGTGGCCTTCACCGTCTTCGCGAGCGTCTTCTTCCTATAGAGCGACACCCGGAGCACTTTTTCCTTATCTTACTTCCGTGTACTTTTGAACGGGTGACACGCATGAACGGGACTGCAAGCGCAATTTGGATTGTTTTGATTCTTTACTCTCTTTTTACTCTGCTCATGGGAAACGACCAATTATGCATATAGCACGGCGCTTTGGAATGATTCTTGATTTGGTTTTTGATAGA